AGCTTACACAGAAAGAAAATTGGTCAAACAATGGCTGTGACTCATCCAGAAGGCTGACACTGACAGAAGTACTAAAAAGTACTGTGCATAGTTTCAAGCTATATCCTGAGGAGACTTCACTGATTTTGATAGATAACAAAACGCTGATTAACACAGGTCTCATCTTAACTTGATCTTGAACATCGAACAGAAAAGTATAACCACAAGATGTACAAAACAATACCTTGGTAATATGATAGCTATAACAATTTAAATCACTAGCACCTTTTGACAATTGCAAGCTACACTGGTAACTGATAACTGCGATGGATTAATGGAGTGTATAGAGTTAAATTTCTGAAAACAGGGACCCAAAATCCTTGGACTTGGAATCTATAACCTACATGAGTAAGTTCACTCAGAAAGGAAACACTTTGAGAATGAGAAGGTCTTCTACAGAGTCCTCCAAATGCAGCTCCCCCACCTTCAACTGACTACCCATCACTTGCAACCATAAAACATAAAGGGAGATGGAGGAGCAGCTAAAGCTGGAGATCAATCACACTTGTGAGGAGAGCCACAAAAACAATCTGTTCCAGCTCCAAGAACTCTAGGTACTCAGGCAAGTCAGCTACAGGTGCTAGGCAGAGAGGTTCAAATTGACATCAACTTCCTGAGTGTACAAATAATATTCTGTGATGGTTGAGTAGTTCCTTTTCCTCTCTGCTGGAGAGAGGGCTCCACCTGACCTCAGCTTTCTGTATATTGTCTCTTATCTTTATTTCTCCTTCCTCCCACCATTCCTCCCCCCAGGAATCCTCCCACATCATGGCAGCAGCTAGGAAACTGGGTAACTTACTGTATCCTGGGGTGGAGATAACTGTCTGTCTCTCCTTTTCTCCTTGTTTTTTGTGTTTTGAACCTGGACACTGAGGATCCTGGGCTGCAGAGATTTCAGGCAGGCAGAGCAGGAATTCTGCAGGTCCAAAGCAAAGAACCTGCTAACAGTGACCCTCAGATCACCACTCGGGGGATCCTTGTCACCCTTACCACCCAACTGGCTCCTTCCACCAGCACAGCTGTCCAGCTCACTTTCTGTGTCCCCTGGAGAAGGGGGAGGGGGACAATGGGGTAAGACCAGGAGTCTCCTGGAGAAAGCAGATGGGAGAAGCAGCAGAGCCAGAGAGGAAGAGACAGGAGGAGAGGGGAGGAGAGGAAACCACTCTCCTCTGTTCACAGTGCCAAAGGCACCTCCCCTCCCATCACCCACCAGACTCCCTGTTAAACAGGCCTCAAACTAGAAGTGATCTTGCTCTCAGTTGGAGGAATCTACCCTGGTAAACATGACTCCTTGGCTACACAGTGTCTCATATTCTCTGACACATTTCTGGTGTATGTTATGATTTCGGTGCTGAAAATACCTTCCTATTGGCCCCCAGGGTCTTAGGTCACACCAGAGACCCTAAGGAAGATGCGCTCCCTGAGAACAGCATGAGAGAGGAGGACTACTGGGTGCTGAGGAGTGGGGGCCTCAGTGACTGTCCATGCATTGTGACTGACCCCTCAGGAAATGGCTTTCCATTGATGGCACTCAGCTTCTCAGTCCTGGTGTCCAGCAGACTGTGGCTGTTCTTGGCTGGTGTCCATCGCCTCTGCACTCAGCTCAAGGTCACTGCTGTCACCTAAGGGTTCTGTGGGCCAAGACCAAGCAGCTGGCTTGCATTGCCCAGCTGGCTGTCCAGAACGGGGACCTGAGACCTGCTTGTTGTATGAGGGTTCTGCCTCTCATGGCACGAGCACTGCAAGAGAACCAGGATGCCTCACACCTGTCCGCTACCCTGCACCCTCTGCTGCTTTCTGCCTTCTGTGCTGAGTCACTGTGCTGTTCACTCTCTGAAATGGAGCATCTCCCCACTTCTCCATGGAGGACCATGCTTCAGAGCCTTGTTTACAGCCACAGAAGAACTTGCCAAAGAGCAGTGAAGAACCACAGTTCCAGACCAGCACTGCCCTGAACTAGAACCTCAGGTGCTTGCTATGCAGGGGGGTGCTCCCCTAATGCATGAGCCAGAACCTTAGATCCTGCCTGCAGGTAGTGTGGTGGGCCCTCAGAGTTTGATTATTGGCAGGGTTTTGGGAGCAAGTAGCACCCTGATGGTGAGCAGTGAGATCCTACACTTGGGGCCTGCATCGGTGAAATATCAGGAAGTCGGTATAAAGCAAGGTTGGCTCTTCTTACCCCACTCTTCTGTCCCTGGACAACGTCCTACATGCCCCGTCATGACAGAAAGCAGCAAGAGTCCCTAGACACTGCTGCCTTGCTGTTCAAAATCCAGCCTCCAGAAACTTTTCTCGGAAATGAAACTCTTTGGTTCTTAATTTCCTAGTCTCAGGGGACCCGTTCTAAAAGGAGGGAATGGATGAAGCAGTGTCGTTGGTGTTCCTGGCTTGAGCTGACACCTGCTATGAAGTTTCTGCATTTTGACTATAATGGAGCTCAGCTGAGCTGTGATGAGAGCCCAGGAGCAGGGGGACAGCACCGCCTCCCCTAGGCAGTGGTCCAGACTCTAGCTCTCCAAGGCCCCAGCCTCCTAGCTCTGTGCCTCTGCTGCACACTGACTTCACTCCAAGCTACAGGGAAAGCATGCAGTGCAGACGGAGGCTGCTCTGTGCCCTGCAGAGAAATGCTCAGCTCCTTACTCTGCTGACCACTGGACTGTGTCTGTACTGGTATGATTTGTTTTGATTATTTTTATTTGTTTTAAGTGGTAGTCTTATCAGCTGCACCTTTGGGAAGAGCAGTTTCAGGTGAGAAGCAAACTGCAGAAAGCAGATCCTCACCATGTCCGCTGCCCACACACTGACAGTTGCCCCACCTTGGCCTCCTCCTCCAGCTGGACCTTGGCCACCAGCTGCTGCCCCCTTGGCCCTGCACTGTCCTCTCCTGAGCTGCTTCACACCAAGACACCTTGCCTGCACCCTGCAGGTAGGACAAATGTGGGGGCTATGTCCAGCACAAGGTTGCACAAAGCAGCCGCATGACCTCAACGACCTCCATGCTCCAGGGCCATCCTTCCAGTGACAGTCCCTGATCTTTCCAATGTCCCCATTGTGCCGCCCTCCCAGAATGTCACAGAGTAGTTGATCAACAGGATGCAGCCGTTTAGACAGATTGGTTTTCCTCACTTCATGATGGGACTTTAAATTTCCTCTAAGTCTGCCGAGGATGTGAAAGTTCATGTCCTTTTGCTCTGAACAGTGCTCCACTGTCTGGATGTGCCCGCTGTCCCACAGTCCTGTCTGAAGGGCATACTGGCTGCTGGCACATTGGGGCCAATTTGGATGCAACTCTGTATACAGGACTCTAAATGGATGTAAGTTTATGGGTCTTTTCAGGAAAGGTCAAGGAACTGGATTGCTGGACCTTAGGGTGAGTGTTTGCTCACCTTTTCAGAACCCATCAAACTCTTCCTCAGAGGCTGCTCCCTTCTCATCCACAGCACTGATGAGTTTCTGCTGCTCCACATCCTCTCCAGCACTGGGGGTGTCAGCATCTGGATTCCAGCCACGCTGGCAGAGGTGATGTCTCACATGACGCATCCTGGTTGTTCACCTTCTGTGTCCTGTTGACAGTGGGTGTGGACTCTGTTCTCAGGTACTCACCTCCACCTGGAGGTCTTTTTCGCTGACGTGTCTGTTAAGGTCTGTGAACTCTAACCATTTTGTATGGTGAAGCTCTGCATCATTTCCAATGTTTTTTAAAAATTATTTTTATAGTTTTTAACTTGTTACTGTCTTTGATTATTTAATCAATCTTACATTCTTATGTCTAGTGGACTGAGCAACTTTGTTGATGATAACAGTATGTAGTATATTGTAAATTTCTCATTTTGTCTTGAGGTCATGTATCATTTTTGCTATTTTTGTGATGTTTTGATTTTGTCTTTGTTGTTTTGTCAGTTTTTTAATTTTTAAAATTAAAAAAAAAACAAATTCAGTACAATAAAATTGTTTCCCCACCAAAATAATAAAAAAGATCTGTGCCCCATTGTTTAATTCAGTTCATTTTGTTCATGTTTAGTTTGAAGCTTTCTTTGTTTTGAGCAATAGGGTTCTGAAAGTTGTGCCTTTCGCAAGCATTTCCCCCTCTATGTCTGATCTCCAGCTCTCTTGACCATGTCTTCTGCAAAGAAGTTTCTCATTTGATTGAAGCTCAGCTCATTGGTTCTCCCTTTTCCTGTGCCAGGCCTTTGAGGCTGCATCTAAGACATCTGTGCCATGCCTCAGCTCATCCAGGCCTTCTCCTGTTGTTTCCTAGGAGCTATGGAGTTCTGCATGGCACGTTGGGCCAATGCACTACCATGAGTTAGATGTGTGAAGGGAGTCAGGTCTGTGTCTGGATTCCCATCCATGTGTGGACGTCCAGGTATACCCGCCCCGTGTGTGGAGAGGCTGCTCCTCTCTTGGAAAGGCCTGTGCTGTGCTCCTCTGCACAGACCCATCAATCATATTGTGTAGATCAGAGGTATATTTCTTCCTCCCTCCCCTATGTCATTGCCCCTCTCACTGCATTCACTATGACTTCCAGTGACCTTGCACAGCAGGGATGGAGGGAACATTCCTGCCTTGTGCCTGTTCTTGGAAGCTTCTAAATCACTTGCAGTGAGTGTGATGTGCCTATGGGTTCCTGTAGACATTCTTCATCAAGGTCATCTTTACCCAGGCCCCTCTCTGTAATTTGCTCTGAGTTCGTGGCATGGAAGGTGTTGTTCTTTCTCAGGTACTCCTTCTCTGTCTGTGCATATGATCATGTGAGTTCTCCTGCTTGTGTTGTTGATGTGATGGTTCATATTGACTTTCAAATCCTGAACCAGACTTTCACACCTGTGAGAACTGTCACTTGGTTTGTATGGATATATCATTGTTTCTGTTGACTTTTATTTAAGAATTCTAGCACATGTCCTTTTAACATGTGCTATTCTATGAGAGTGGCTCACCAGATTTTGCTCATTCTCAGTAAAATGTCTACATCCAATAGATGTGGCCCAGCTGGGGCATCCTTGGAGGAAATTGTCCTCATGGAGATGCAGCCACAAGCCCGTGAGTGCTGAGAGTACTCAGGTGAACAACACAGCTCTTCAGAAATAAAGCACAGGGGCAGCCTGTGCTCCTCAGCTCTGGGGTTTCCCACACCCAAGGACTGGAAACAGAGTCACAGGTGGCCACATACAAACCTACATGGACCTGAAAACTCATACATCCTGGCCCCAGGGCCAGGTTTTCCTTTGCTGCTTGCAGGCCACAGGCAGAATGATGTCCCCACTTCTTACAAACTCTAGGGTTCTCAGGGTCGTGGAGGAGCATGGAGTCATCTTGACCTCACCAGCTGCCTTAGCTTCTGAGCAGAGGGCCAGCCTGGGCTGATGCCTTGGAGCCAGGGCCTGCTTTCTCCTCTCTACTGTGAAATCCCAGATGTGTCTCATCTAACCCAACACCATTTCATGTGCATTGGGATGCTCTGCAGTGCAGGAGCCTTACTCAGGGTCTCAGCTGGTCCTCAGAATAACTCACTACAGCTTTCACACCAGGTTGCTGGGACTCTCATATCACATCCAGGGGCTCCTGTCCTACACTGCTGCTGATTTCTGCGATCCCTCCTCCCATCCCAGCAAAGTCCACAGCAGGTTAAGGTGCTGGTGGACATCGCCCTACTACACCCTGTGCAGTCCTACTAGCTGCCAGGTAAGGGTCCAAGGACCTGTCAAATCTGGCCACTTTCACCCTAGAGTCACTTCCCTGGATCACTGCAAGGGAGAGTGCATTTGGAGAAGAAGGGTCCAGCTCTCGGCCCCAAGTCCTTGCTCTCCTTCCAGCACAGGCACTGGGCTTCCCTGATATGCAGTTTTCACCAGTCTCCAAATTTCGTCCCTGAAACTGGGGCTCAGCCTCCACCACTAGGGCACAGGGGGGCTAGGAATGGAGACAGTCACCATGGACACCTGCCCTGCAGGTCACAAACACCCAGATTCCAATACCACACACACACACACACACACACACACACACACACATACACACATACACATTCAGTATAAAGTACCTCAGTGAGAATTATCCTGTATCATGAAATGACATTTGGTGTAAAGGTTAAATAGACATTTCATTACCACAATATCAACTGTTCTTTTTACTTGCCTGATGTGTCTATCAGAAGTTTAAAGCCACACATGAAGAAAAAGTCACATACGGTTAGTGTCCCACCTCAAGAGGATCATCCCAGGTGTCCCAGCCACAATCAGCCACCTGTGACAATCTCTGGCCTGGACCACCTTGCTCAGAGTAGTTCTTGGGAGATCTGTGGACTGAATGATCAGAGGGCTTAAGGAGAACTCCTGTCCTTTCACGAGTAAAAGGTAGTAACTCCTGCATGGGAGATAAGTTCCTCAACGCAGGGCAGGGCCTGGGCTTGCTGGAACATCAGGAAACACCTTCTTCTTCCCAGAAATTCCTGACATTGGCCTCAGATTTCCTTGACCTCAGAGCCTCTGGGAAGCTAAGACTGCTCTGTCCCCTTTCCTGCAGAAATACAGTTCTGAGTCACAGGACTTAGGGCCAAGAGAGTTCTGGAGAACAGGGAGCTTGTACCTGGGGAAGCTGAGGAGGGAGACAGCTTAGGGGGTCAAGGGAACTGGAGGAGGGGACAGCATGGGAGGAGGAGGAGGAAGAAGGCACCCAGCCTGGAGGAGAGAGGGACAGAGGAGGAGCAGCCAGCACTGGAGGAACAGCAGAAGGGAGGGGCCATCAGGAAAGGAGGGGTTGTGCTGGGAGGTTGGGAGAGCATCAGGGAGGGGCTAGGGCCTCAGAGGATAAAGCACAGCCCCACAGGCCAGCGCTGTGGCCTCTATACCACTGCCCTCAGTGTTCTGCAGCTCTGACTTTGTGTCCTGGAGACACGGCCTCATCCCTGTGTGTCCCTCTGCTGCTCCTGGCTGTGGTGGTCTTGGACCTGGCCATGACCCCCACGGCCTCTAAATTGCATCAGAAGTGGCAATCTTACCTAGTTGGTGGCCAGTAAGATGTAGACCCTAGTGATGAAGGGGTGCAGCAGGCGGTGGATTTCGCCCTCCACGAGTACAACAATGATAACAACGACCTGAACCTCAGCCGCTTGGTGCGGGCGGTGCGTGCCCGTCAGCAGGTGCGTGGTCAACAGGGTGGGGAAGGCTGCACAGGAAATGCTGTCCACCTGCACATTGGTGGCTCCCTTTGCTCTGATCCCTGCCAATGTCCCTACTCCAGGTATGCCCCCTGCTCTGCAGCCATGGCCGGGTGAAGGAGGCTCTACTGGGATGGACCACCACGTGCTTCTCACCCAAGCCCCATCCCTGGTGTTGCTGTTCCTGCAGTCTGTACTGAGCGTGTCCCTCAGTCACTGCAGGGGAAGCCAGGGCTGTGTCCTGGCGGGCACAGAGGGTGACACTTGTCCTTAGATCCCATTCCAACCCCAGCCGGCAAAGGCACCAGGTGCCAGGCAAGGGTCAGGGATTCCCTGGATAATGCTGCCCACCTCCTGGAAGAGACCTGAGGCAGCTATGAACTAAGTGGTCCGGCACCACTGACAGGGATCATGCTTCTGTTCGCTCCTCTCCAGACCTTCATCCACTGTCCTTCAGCTCCTTGCTCTGACATGACCTCAGGTTTGCAAAGCAGGCAAAGCAGGAGCAGTGGGCACCCTGGTTCCTGCACGCACCTCTCCCATGGTCACCCTTGGTCACAGGCCCTGCTCCTTGCTCTCCATGAAGCATGAGGCTCTGAATGGACATGGGTGGATGCTTCTATAACATCATGCAGCGAACCCCTAAGGACACTAAGGCAGTCCAGGGTATATCCCCTGTGAGCTGCAAGGGTCCCTGTGGGCTGTGGGGTGTCCCCTGCTGCAGAGCCAGTGAAGAATATCCTGTGGATGGGGAACCAGATTACTGAGGGATCAGCTGTGCTTAGTCCTCAGGCTGCAGCTCTCCTGCACCCATATCCAGTTCTTCCTGTTGGGCACAGAGCCTGCTGGGGTGGACCCACCCTGCCTCCTGGACAGGAAGTGCTGGCTCAGTACCCTGACTGATCCCCAAGGCAGCCTCCCTCCCAGGGCCCAGATCACAGAGTGCAGTGCTGGCTCTGACCTGCCCGTTCCCTGCTTCTGTCTTGCTCTGTTGCATGAGAGTCCTCTTTGAAGCTCCTTGGAAGGGAACAAGTGGAACACAGGGCAGAGACACCCCTCAGGCAGATCTGCTGCAGTGTGGGCTGCAATGGGTTTGACCTGAGCCCTGGCAAGCACAGTGAGTCCAGCGCAGCCAGTACCTGCCACAGTGAGGTGGACGGAGCGCTGAGAGAGTCCTGCTCTTTCTCCCTAGGTGGTTGGGGGCATGAACTACTACTTGGACTTGGAGATTGGCAGAACCACATGTGCCAAGGAGCAGTCCACCCAGGAGGAGTGTTCCCTCAGTGAGGAGCTGGTATGAGCTTGAAGGGGGCAGAGGCAACACAAATACTGGGGCAGTGTGTATGTGTGTGTGTGTGTGTGTTTGGTTATGAGATAGTGAGTGTGGGTAACAGAACAGGGCTGTGCACACAAGCTTGACTGGGGAGCTAAATGGGCCCCTAGGAAGTGAGGTGCTGGGAGATGACCCCTGTGTTTGGGTGCTCCTGCTGGGCAGGAGGGACAGCAGCAGGGCTGGTGAGGAGGGAGTGTGCTCTGTGAGTCCCAGCCTCACCCCCATCAGAGCCAGGCTGAGCAGGTCAGGCTTGAGGAGGCCAAGACCCCACATGGCCCTCAGTCTCAGCCACTCCTGACAACCAGGTCCCTGGAAGCTGCACTCTGGGCACATAGCGTCTGCCACCCTGTCCAGCTTTCTTGTCCCCTGTTCGCCTGGGCTGTCTGTCCCCTGTGTGCCTGTCTGTGCTGCTCTGCACTGAGGTGGAGGTGCTGGGGTGGTGACCACCTGCCCTACCCTGTGACCCCTGGGCTCCTGGCCATAAGAGGCTGGTCCCTGGGGGTCGTGGAGGATGACTACCTGTGATCTCTGAGCTGGAGATATTCCGGGCGGGGACTTCCCCTCCACCACACCTCCCCTCTCATGCTCATGGCTGGGCGTCCTCCCTCTTCCTGAAGCCACACTCACTGCCCTTCTCTCTTTCTTTGGCAGACGCAGCTCTGCTCCTTTGTGGTCCACTCCAGGGCCTGGGAGGACTACATGGCATTAATAAGCTCCAGATGTCACGAGGCTTGAGGTTGTGTTTCTGCCAGGCCAGCACGCCCACCCCTTACCCGTGTCCCCTGCAATGTCCTAAACCATGTGGTCGAGCCCAGGCTGGTGCAGTCTGCTTCATGTCCAAGCACCTGGGCTCTGATACAGCAAGATCTTCAGGGCAACGTGGACACCCTCGACCTGTCCCCTGTTCCTTTCTCCTGTGCTTCTTAACCGTACCTGTCGGGGGCACACATGGCCGTCCCTGCCTTGTTCAACAAAAAGCTGCAGCATTTCCCCTTGTGGTGTATTCTCGGGTGCACTAGAAGGGTTGGGGGAGCTGTCCGCACACCTCGGTGCTGTCTGACTGTCACACAGCCTTCCTGGGCACTTCACACACAGAGGTGGGGCCGAATCATGGGCACTGATGTCCCTCACTCTGTCACCATCACACTTTCTGGGGAGTCTGCCCTTCTGCCCACTGTTTCCAGCTGTCTGCAAGGCCCTGGCTCTGTCCTGGGGATCAGGCTTAGAGAAAGTGACCCAGTCAGCCAACCAAGGTGCCCTCTGCACCCCAGCCTCAGTGACCATCTGAGCATGGCCAGTGGCCCAGGTCTGGCCTCAGGACTCCTGTGGCTCATGGTGGGGTTTTATTGAGAGTCCCTTGTCAGGCTGAGTCCCTTGTGAAAGTGCTTGAAGTCAGAGTGCTCCAGGTCTCAGAAATCTGTGGGATTGTGGGAAATCTTTACACACATGATGAGATTTCCTGAGGATGGGACCCATGTCTGAGTACTCTGCACCCATAGCCTGAAACTAATTGTTACATTATAGATTATAGGAAGAAAGGTTTTATTGGAATGTCAGAGGGAGAATAGGGAAAGATTCAGCTTACATGGCTGGAGGAGTCACCCTGATTTAGGGGTTCAGACCAGCCCCCAAAGAGTTGGGAGGCCACTGTCAAGGACTGGTGGGTGGGCTGGGGTCCCAATGGTCTGTGTCTCATCATCTTGATCGTAGATCTGAGATCTTGATGGCTGAGGGATGGTTTCCTTTCCAGAATGGGACTCTGAGTCCCTGGGTCTCTGTCACCTGGGGCTCCCACTTCCCTGGAATCCAGGTGATCACAGGTTTAAGACAGTGCCTGCAGGTTTCTGGGAGTAGCTGAACATTCCTGTAAACCTCTCACCTTGGAACCTCATTCTCGAAGAGGACAAGACCACAAGAATTCAGGGCTGATCCTAATTCACAAGAATTCAGGGCTGATCTTGCTTCCTAGCAAGATCCTAAATGACTACCACTCCCTACACAGAGCTGAGGAGAGATCTGACTCAGGATTTACAATGACAAGGACACAAAACACAGTCGTGTTCTGCTGTTAGCCACCTATCGGTCATCAGCAGCCCCACTGAAGGGCCATTGTTTGTGGCAAAAATGGCATTTAAGTGCCTGCCTATCCCAAAGCGAAACACAGATGACATTGTTAATGAGGAGGTAGCAAGTGCCTTAGCCTGGGTCCTCCATTGCTGAACACCCACAAGGTCAGTTGCAACAGTGTCTGTATTGGCAGCAGGGTTCCTCCTGCTATCATTCTCTCTGGACACTCAGGGTCCATGTCAGATCCCATCCACCTCACAGGGCATGGCCTGTCTCCCCAAAGTGCCCTTCAGGTTGTCTGCTGGAAGTCATAACTCTGGGGACTGTGGACAGATCACAATGCAAATCTTGTAAGGAAAACCTAAAATAAAGATGCCAAGAGAAACACAGTATAATTGTACAAGAAACATAATTCATAATTTAGTCTTGTCAGAATTAGAACTCTTAAGTCGAATATATTTGCTTAGTAATGTGTCTTTTTGCTTACTAATGGCACCGTGGTTACCCATATCTAATCATGCTAACACAATGAGGAACACAATGGAAAATTATCTATCCTTACAGGCCATGTTGGTCCTGAAGTGGAAGCCAGTACATCAAGGGGTTTTCCTTATCCCTATACTTCAGAAGCCTTGTGCACTTCTGGAGTAACACGTATTTGACATGCAAACAAGTCAGCCATAACTGCTAGTAGCAGCATTGTAAGTTTTTGTATATCAACTTAGCTTTTCAACTTGGAGGTAAAATTTAGAATCTATGGTCTGTAGTACAGCTATAATCATTTGATTTTGTACTTAAGCGATCTAAAAAGTTTAACAATAGTGATTGAAAAAATCAGACAATAGATTTTGGTCTCTTACAACATTAGGAAACAGTCACGATGCCCACAAGTAGGCTTATGATGTGATGTACACTTGTATTTCATTTGTGCAATAAATTATTGAGTTACAGCCAATATGTGTAGACCATAGTTAAAATGGTAGTGTTGTCCATGTGGCAGTTTCCCCAACTTGAATGTACTGAACAGCATCAGAAATGATAGGTTCTACTGACCGTGTCATAAGTGTCAGGTCCAGATGCTGTGTGTGCTGTGTAAGACAGCACTTACTGGTTACTGTGCATGCATCACACTCATGCATCATTAGTCTCACAATCTTTGCACATTCTCACAGCGTGCGTAGTCCTTGCATTATACATCTTTAGTCTCAGACACAGGATCTGGCAATAGAGTAAAATAACCTAAAGTAACAGAAGTTCATTTAAGGAGAGCTATAAACTGATCATTAAACAATCCAGGACTATGTTGCTACTCCTTCCTCAGCAGTCAAACCCTAATAGCAGAGGAGAGAAGTAATTGCCTTCACAAAATACAACTCCTGTTTGAAGGGCAATTTCTGTCCATTGTTACTAAGAGTGCATCAACATTTAGAAAACGCTGTTTTACACGTGGAATTTACACATCAGTGTCGCAAACTCTATTTTATAAAAACTTCTTCAACTATGTTTGGAAATTATCACTAACCCTATCACATTTAGAAATTTTCTCTCCCAAGTGGCACCCCTCACAAACTTTCTGCTACTTGCATTACGTTTCTGATTGTGTCCTTATCTTTCTGGTTTCATTCTGGTAAAACTTTTTTATCTAAAATATTGTCTTACAAATATCTTTCTTTGCATCTTTTTTCTACCTACTAGTGCCTTCATAAATTTTTCTTTTTCTTTTAATTTACCTCTAAGACAAATTACAAAATATCTCAATTGGGACAAATTACTCTTTTGCCTCTCAATAAGATAAAACACATACTTTTAGGATAGAAACATATCTCCTCTTTCACACACAGCAAATAGCTGTAGTTGAAAAGAGAGGTGGTGACAAATTAGACCCCTCAATTGCCAGCTGGTGGAGTAGGGAAAAGGTTCATGCTTTGGAAAACAGCCTGGGGGGTCCTCAACAACGTAAACAGAGACTTACCATCTGACCCAGCAGTACTTCCCATCCCGGATACATGAAAACACTCTTCCACTGAAAGCTTCACTTCTGTATGAATGTTCATAGCTGGAGAACTCAAAACAGCCAGACAAGGGCAAGATACCACCAAAAACCCATTCATTGATGACTGAATAAACAATACAGTGTGATATTACTTGGCAATTTTTTAAAGTAGACACACTGGTGTAGACTGTATGGTGAGCGAATCTCAAAAATCTGCTCCAGAAAGGAAATTCAACAAAAGAACAATATACAGTCTCTGATCCCATTCACACAAACAACCAGAAAGGCAAATAAACTTACAGGGTCAGGTGGTGGAAGAAAGGTTACCAGGCTGGTAAAATGGGGTTAGGATTGATTCCTGGTTCAGGAGGCAGTTCCTCTGAGCCATGAAAATGATCTAAAGTTAGACTGTGGAGATACTTGCAGGATACTGTGAATATGATAAGAACCCCAGTATTGTAAATTTTAAACTGGAGCTTTATGTGACATGGATGGATTTCCTCCAAAAATTGTTTTAAAATCTTCACTGAAACTATAGTAGTCAAAAGGCAAATTTTTTACCCTCTCTTCTCTTTTCCATCCTTAATAATTTCCCACCATGTTTTCCAATCAAGCTTCATCAAAATTACAAAATAGCAACTTAACTCTAAGTACCATCAGATGGATAACTGCCCTAAGTTTGACCAGAAATTTTTCCCCAGCCACTGCTATCTTATTCTCAGCAATACCTGAAGTGCAAGAGAAACTCCCATTGTGAGTTGACCTCTGGTGCCTGCATTAGGTGTCCCGCAGGAAGTCTTGGTAAAGTGAGGTTGCTTCCCCCAGAAAAAGGTTGGTCCCTTTTTCTGCCCCTGGCCACTGCCCTGCCCTCTCCACCATAAGAGGAAGCAGCAAGAGATGCCTGTTAGCCACCCCTGACACACTGTTCAAAAAATTCCAGCCTCTAAAACCATACATGAGATGAAACTCTCTTGTTTCTTATAATTTCCAAGGCTCAAGTATCCAGTTCCAGAAGGAGACAGTGGATGAACAGAGTGTTTTCAGCCTTCTGGGCTCCTGCTGTTCTGTGCTACTTCTTGTCACCTTCTTTACAGGTGTAAAACACGGAGGATAAGAGATAACTTGGCTGCACAGAGGAGGAGCCTCGGTCAGAGCTACTCAGAGAAATTCAACTAAAACACAGGTCACTGGAAGAAGGGAAAGGAACATACATCCTGAAACTAAAATCAATCTGACATAAGCCACTAATAGATCAAGGCAAACATAGATAAAGGACTTAATAAACAGCCAGCCAGACCACCCAGCTGCCAGTGGACCACTGCATCAGAAGAATTGCCTGCCATACTTGGAATGGCGAAAGAACAATAACAAAAAGATCTACTGAAATAATATGGCTAAAACAGGCCATACAGGACAGACTTGGGATATAAGGTCCTCAACCTCTTTTGCCCTCCTCCAAGCAGAAGACACTACAGTCCAGCTGTAAATTCTGCCAACATAAAGTGCTCCTTCCCTAATGATTGGCCACTTTTCCATTTTTCAGTTTTAGTCTTTCCTTATTTTTTCCATCTTTTTGCTTTTTCTTTTCTTTTTTCTTTTCTTCCCATTCCTTTTGTGCACCAGCGTGCTAACTGCAACGACCAGAAACAAAATTAAAAACTTCAGCAGTGCATAGTAAATGGAACAAATAACCTCTACCTGAGACCTGTGGTTAGAAAGGCATTGAGAATTACATAACCCTGCACCTCGGGACTGTGCAGGCCCAGACTATCCCCATGTTATGGGGTGCAGGATCAGAAATGCACCCCATGGCCTTCCACAGTCTCCCCTGAGTAAGTTACAAATTACAGAAGAGACCGGAGATGGTGGCAGCAGAACTTGTAAAACAATGAATGGGAAGTTAGCACCCCACCTTGGGAAAGAAGTAAGAATTGGGACTGAGCAGCCTTGGACTGCAACAGCAGGAGCAGAGGACCAGACAGTATCACACCATCCCACTCCACTCTGCAATAAATGACCTGAGAGAACAGAGACTTTCCGGTGGAAAAACACAGAAGGCTGAGCAAGGACCTGGAGGAGCCAAAGGGTCATGGGTCTTAGAATAGCCCCTTGTCTCTGTCTGAATACAGTACAGCACCTGAGAGAGATACATCACCAAGAGAAACAAGGTAAGGAGTGGGAGGGAGGCCAATGAGGGACATACAAAAAGTACTGGCTGAAGACTCTGGCTTCAGAGCCCTACAGGTAGAGGCCAAATTCAGCACAAATCATACTCCAGGTTTATTGAGTAGTTTTGGAATCTGGGTGGATGCTACAAAAATTTTGGTTTTTAAATTTAATTTTATTTTTATTCTACTTTTGCTGGTTTCTTTTCTGTTCCTTTTCCTTTTTTCTTTTTCTTTCTTGTTTTTTTTTTTTTTGTTTTTACCTATACTTTTGTTCTAATCAATTTGTCTTCTTTCCACATTTCCTCAATTCATCTCTCTAGACTTAATCATATTTTCATATTGAGTACTTTCCAATTTTTCTGCTCAACATCAACAGTCTCTTGCTTACTCCTTCATTCTTTCTCTTCTGGCCTCTTCTCTAGTTTCCCAAAGCTTGTCTGATCATCATCCTCCAGCCTGGCTTATTACTTTTCAGTTATCTCTGCTCTATCCACTATCCTTCTTTAATTTCCCAACCAGAGAGTGAAAAATTGTAACAGAAAATGGCATCCCAGCCAATATACTTCAGTTTCTTATTTGCCCAGGTAATAGTTCCTGTTCCAGATCCAGTGGCTCTTGTCTCTTAGAAAGAGCTTGTCACTGTGATGCATAGCTGGTGACTATGATGCACGTTGTATAAACCAACCCAATTGATAAGCCATTCTGCCTCTGTCTTTCTTGCTTGCTTATGTCATATAGATTTTTGACCACAAGGGGTCAGGGCTTGATATTCTTGGAATGATCCTGATCAGTGCCTGTTGACATAAATAAATAAATCTACCTCCAAAACCTAGGTATTGTTTCAGTGTTTCTGCTTGCTAGTGCAAAGCCACTCTGCCAAGGGGAAATACTTTGATTAAAAGCTTACAACACATAATTGGTTCTGTTATATAACTGTAGATTTTGCTTCTTTGATAAAAGGTCCAAACTTAATTACCACAGTTTGTAATTTTCTAAACTGTGCTTCATGCTATTGTTAGTGCTAATTATATTACTTCAGCTAGGATGTTACAGCTGTTTTAATCAGTTGTTCTCACTTCTGTAACAATACTAAGAAGTTCTGGGGTAATAATCTCACCACACCCAGAACCAAAGGACTGAGCCAAACGGATACAAACATTTCACTCTGAATTAATTGGAAAGGTAGCCCCGTGGGACAGATATCAACCAAGAACCTCCTACAACCTGAAGAACAAACCTGTCTACAGAGGCTTTTATACTAGTAATAAAGCTATCAACTACAAAAACTTACAAGGGTTAACACATAAAACAAGATAAGGACTTTTAAAATACAAAATGACAAGACACAGGTATAGTATATGGCCTATTTTAGA